TACACTAATAAACTTGTGGCCCTCAATATAAAACTACTAATATTTACAAATTTAAAAATATAAAATATATGAGCTCTATTGGTTGGCAGTTCTGCTGATGGTGGTGTGTGTGTTTTATAACTCCGTAAATACTGTGCTACGGGGAGAAAAAAAGAACGAGTCCAGTAAAGCCGCCATATGTCAACATTTTGCTAAAAATACAATTAAAAACAAAATCGTGAACAGTACATTTTGATTTTCCATTATTTTTTCTATTTTCCATAATGCGGTACAAATTCACTTTCATACTAATTTAGGCATGTCATAAATAACGTTAAATCAATCATTTAGACATTAACTTTAACAAATTTAAAGTTGTTAAAATTGCTATTGTCGTTGTTTCGACCCGCGAAGATTGATGTCTCTCAGTTTGCCGACTAGAGTCTCGACGGCCGTTAATCTAATAACTGAAATTTAAAAACTGAGGAAAAAACATTGAAGGATATTTTAGATTAGAAAAAAAATCTTAATTAAATTCTTAATTAAAATTTAAATCATTGAAACACGATTAAGCATTCAACAACAACAGTAGTAATGAAAACGTTATCTGGATAGAGTTTTAGAAAATCTTTCTTTTAACAGGTTCTTCATTTTTATTCAACAGGTTTCTAAGATTCCCATCAATGATTCAAGATGTTTGTCCAGACAGTGCTTGGAGGTAACTTTTTTAAGTTTCTTACATCTCCAGACCTTTTATTTACGACAGTCGGAATTAATAATGAATTATGATAATCACGCCTCGTTTAACTGCGATATATCATCCCTGATACTTTTTAGGAAGCCCTTGTGGTGGCCAACTCGAAAAAGATATCAGGATTGATACCTCATAAATTCTGATGTACTTTTGATATCATCAAAAAGGACCAGAATTTCTGCAAATTGCTGTATATATGTATTGAATTGTAAACTGCTCAAAAAAGATACATTCTTAATCCCGTCAAATGAGTATTCCACTAATAACAACATTGCCAACATTGGTGGTAACTTTAAAAAATCTTCTCTTCCACGATAACTGATCCCTTAAATATATTAGCTACATCAATGTATCAGCCCGTGTAGAATTTTTTAAACTAATAAATGTTTTTTTTTTCCTTCAGTGTAAAATACCTTGTGACAAGGAGTTCGTTTCAGTGGAAAACTGCACCCAAAACTGCGTAAGTTGACGTCATGAATATTAATTTCTTTCGCACATCACGTATTGCTACTTTCCTTCACAGTTTCCTGCGCATCTTGAAAAGTAACCATTCCTGTGAATCGAAGCGAGAATGGGGGTGACCTAGTAGTATAGGGAATGGGGGTTCCAGCGCAATCTCAACACGGGCAAGACCCGTGTCAAAAATCCACCTACGGACAATCCCCACTCCAAGTGTGGTTGGGGGCAACAGCGCAAATATGTTAGTCTATATATGGAGTGCGAAGAATGTAAGAGAACTTTTAAGAAAGAAGCGGATT